TCATAAGCAAACTCAGATTTATTATTCTGTCATTAGAAAAAAATAAGGAAATTCACACATAATGTTGCTCTACTCATATTTATTGAATGAATAAAACTTTTTATGAAATGAAACTTAATGTATTTAGTGTATGTGGAAAAAAGAGAGGAGGAAGAGTGAGAGAGAGAGAGAGAGAGAGAGAGAGAGAGAGAGAGACAGAGAGAGAGAGACAGAGAGAGAAAGGAGTTAATAAGTTGTGTTAATAGTTGTGGCTTGGCAAGTCCGGTACCAACATCTAGTTTCCTAGATTCAATTTAGGTAAGTCATTATAAGTAAATAAGAGCCTTATCCTTAATCATTGCAATATATTTCCAGTGAAAAAGTTTTTGTGTTTAATTCACTAAAAGCAGTCACTGGATGTAAGTTTTAAGGTCTATGAGGATAAGGACTGTGTTTGCATGACCCACGATTATAGCCACCGTGTTGATTCCAGATTTGTTTTCAGAATAGATAATCAATACATTTTAAATGAGCGACAAATTTAATGAAGACTTGGTAGCAAAACTTTCAAAAGTAGCTAAATTTTACAACAGTGCTAGGAAAATTGATATGCAATCATGTGATTTATTCATTTACTAAAACATAAAAAAAGAACAAAAATGATAATACAGAATTTCAGACTAGCATAATAGGACATTAGCAATGGTTAGTATATCACATATTGTTATCTTTGAAGTAGTTGCTCAGATTATGAGTTTTAGGCATGAAAAAATAAACACTGAGTTTCCTTCTGTGTGTATGACAGTGTTTGACACTGGGGGATAAGAAATAAACAAAAGAGAGTAAGTTTGACTACACGCAGCTTACACTTTGAGTGAGAAAACAACAAGCAGTGGGAGTGCACGTGTGCTGCGTGACTGGCATCGGAATCGACCACTTCCAAGTGTTCTGGTAATCTTGGGCCTTCCCTGCAATAAAAGCAGTGTATCCCTCCATGTGTGATATAACATGCTTTCGGAAAGGTAGTGGCATATTATTTCATAGAGCAAGCCTCCAGAAACCTTGTATGTTTTTCTTGACTGCTTTGTTCTTAGGTCTCTGCCATACTTTGATTTCTGTGCAAACATGCCCAGAGTAGACTAATGTATAAGAAAGAAAAGTGAAATGTGGTTGGCTGCCACTCAAATCAAGTGAAAGTCTGAAAAACTTCTAATTCTCAAATAACTTAAGGTGCAGGGGTAATATAATCCTAGCATTATGTGCTCCTGAGATTTTTTTTTTTACCAGTTATACTGTATTCTACAATAGGTTACTGGCACAAAGCAGTCTTAATATTATAGGTAATTAAATTAGGTAAAAATTAATAGGTAGTAAGAAAGGAACAGGCCCAGGAGGAAGTCAATGTGAAAATGAGAAATATCAAAACAGACTGGACTTATCAGAGACTCCTACAGTGAGAGCCAATCTCCTGTCAGGTGCTACCGTGCACAGAAGAAAGAAAGAAAAAGAAAAAGAGAAAGAAAGAAATGAAAGAAGTGAGAAAGAAAAAAAAAGAAAGAGAGAGAGAGAGACAAAGTGGTGGTACAAGGGGATCCAGGATGACCAGTTGTTCACAAGGCTACACAGCAGCCACAAGGAAACTTGACCTCAGCATTTATTGATGGGGGAGGGGATGATCGGATGACAGTAATTTAGCAGGTAGCCGTGGTTTTATACTAATGAGAATCTTGCCCTGGAGATACTTTACTCTTCATAGTTTTAAACTTAATCTTAGTACATGGGAGAGGATGAGTTGCCCCTATAGGGATAATGGAAAATCTCAAAAGTGTGATACACAAAATTTCAAGCCTCTGTTAATCTCTTATGGAAGTGTGCAACACTAGCCATTGTGATTTTTGGTCCCTAACATGAAGGTGCATCTGAAGAAGGCAAGGCCTCAAGATTAAAATACAATGTACAGATTTACATACATCCCTAAAGAGTGAATGGGACTTAAGATTACATTGTAATTGGTATCATCCAGTCCATTAAAACTAGATATGTATTGGACACCCAATGGGTGACCCGAACAGCTGGACTTATCCATTCTCAAAATGTTCTTGTTTGAGAAGTCATAGATAACCAAGGCTAGTGATGTCAGTCCCATAGCCTGGCACTCTGCTTCCTATTGGATCAATAAGAGCTAAGTGGTTATATTTATATTCTTGTTGATTGATTATAGTTTGAACCATGTTGTATCCACATGCTGGACAAGTTGTATTTCACAGAGCCTTCAGTGACAATCCATTTCTGAGACTCCTCTTGTCTTTCAGAGACTACGTCTTAATAAATCTTTCCTACGCTTCACCTGCTTTGTCTTCTAGAATTCATTTTCAAACTTGGCACATCTGAACACGAGCAGGTTTGGTGTTATACTTTTCCTGTATCATTATCACATTTTAAGTGGTGATCGTTGCTAGGGTGAAACAATAAAAATAAAGCAGCTCAATGAGAAAATGTTGAACTCATCACATATTCACTGAGAAAGTGTAAAAAGTGAAGAGAAATTTGTGTAGAAATTAAGAATAAAGTTAGAATTCCAATTTAGTATTTCTTTTGGCTTAGCTACACACTAAATAGGCCAGTTTCCTGCTTCCTGGTCTTCTTTCTCCTCCACACTTTAGAAAATTTGTAATTGTAATTTCTGTATGAGATGTAAATATTTTTTAAAAATCCTTGGTGATTTTACAAGAGTGTTTCACTTGAAGGATGGAGAGGCAATCCCTCTGAAATGCATAATTTGATATAGGGCAAAGAAACTAGATGTCCATATGTGTTGTGTTCTCTAAAATTGAAGATTGAATTTTTGAAACAACAGACGTTAAGAGCAGAGAAAGAAAATTTCTGTCTGAGAGATACACAGAAAGGGTCCCACGTGGATTGCCCAAGAAAGCCACAAGATGAGGCAGGTCCAACCTGGGAAAAGTGGGCACACAAGATGAGCAAGAGGTGGGACAGAATTATGGTCAACCAGTAAGATTATGAGTCTAATTGCTCAGGTAGCATTGATTAACTTAAGGATGAGGGCCTTTGCTTGTAGCAGCTGAATTAGTGGCCCCTTCTGGCTTCCTCAAGGTGATGTGTATCCATGCAGAATATCAATCCCTGGTGTTTATCTTTAGGGTGTGACTGCATTTGTTTTGTCTTTCCTTTTGAGATCTGGCCCAAGGTGCTAGGTATTTGTTTTCCCTTACAGTTGCAAGGTATATGATCATGCTTATAACTGTCAAGGAAGATAGAATCTGTCCTAATGACTGAACATCTATGGGAGTATAAGAATGTAATATAGTTCTAAGTATGAAATTATCTCCTATCCTCAAAACAAGAGAAAGTAATTTTAAAGGTTCTATATGACATTCATAGAGAAATTTGTATGCTGCTGTTTGAAAACCAATGTAGAATTTAAATGAATAATATTAATTATTATGATACATTACCCAGTTCCACTAGGAATATGATATCGAGTAGAGTCTCTGATATAAAGGCCTTAACATTAAGACCAGTATCATCTTCAAGCATAGGCCACCACACAGATAAGCTGTGAGATATCTGACATATAAAGATAAAGACATATAAGGAGATATAAGCAGATAATTGTGAATAAAAGAAAGGCAGAAAAGATTTTTAGAATATGGGTGGAGAAAGGACTGAATATATAACAATATAAAAATTTACTAAGCTTTTGGAGTAGCTGAGAGAATGAATTAAATGTAAAGAAGACATCAGTAAGAAGGGAGTAGAGAATGTCTAGAGAAACATAGCAGGTATATGACAGTTGGCCTTTTTCTTTCAAAAATGACTTTCAGTGTAGTCCACAGGACAATGAGCATATTTATCTTGTTTCTGGTCTTTTTGAGAAATATTAAGAACACTAACTTTTCCCCTTATTTCTTTTTCTTTATAACTGCTGTTTATTTTCTCTTATAACATTATAATAATCATTAAATATATTTTCAATATTAATGAGATATATGTATCCCAGCATAAGATTTAATTACCTGGTAATGATAGTACCAATAATAAGAAATACTGTTCAATAGTGACCTGATCCAAATTCAGTTTAGATGTTATGCACTGCCAAAGTATTTACCCTGCTTCCTGGGCTGCAACAATTATCCTAAAAGAAATCAGGTAACAGCTTTTGGTATGGAGTGTTACTTTTAATTACTTTTCTCTTGTTCCTTAGACAAAATGCCCAATGACCACGTTAAAGAAAGTGTTATTTAGCTCACGGTTTTTAGACTGTGTAGTTTGTTTCAGTCCATAATCAGCTGGTTCCAAGGCAGGTAGCCTGACTGGGGGCAACAGTTCAAGGCTGCAGAAGACAACAAAGCAACAACAGCAAAAAGGGGAGAACAAACCTCTTTTCCTCTCTTATATTGTACGCAAGCTCTCCACCTTCTGCTGGTCTAACACTCACACCCTCTGCCCCTCTCTGGCACAGTCTCAGAACTTTTCCCAAGTGAGGACCCTGACCCCCTGCTGAGTCCCTTAAACTTCTAAACTTTTCAAATTGACACAAACAATATCCTAGAGCCCTAAGGGCATGTCCTCTACACTCTAGGATGTAGAAGTGCTGAGTTATCCATATAAGCTGCTAAATTTCTCTAGTCGACGCACTGCAAGGTTTTGGGGAGCAAGAAAGACCCACGGAACATTTGCTGTTAGTGAATTTTGCTGGATTGACATACCTGGTTCAAATTATTGTAAGTATTGGCTCCTACTGGCTTCTCCTCATTCTTTTTTCAGTTGGTGGTGACATTTTAATCACATGGTAGAATGGAAGTCATAGACAAAGCATTCGTGTGCCCTTTTTTTCCACTTATTGCCTTCTGGGAGATGTGTGGATGATGTCTGGTAGATGAAATCTTCATTCCCTCCTCAAATACATCCTGAAATCCGAGGAGGGAAAAAGCAAATAGTTTTAAAAAATTCATTCTTTAATGTTTGTCCTTACATTCTCTAACTTTGTCTCCATCCAGGAATACCAGGTTGAATCAATAATCAAAATTGCTACACATATTTTTGTGAGTGTAAGTATCATGTACTTTTTTCATAGTATAGGCAATAAGGGTGTTAAAGAAAATTATGGAAAAATATACTTAGTTATACTAGGAATTCAAGGAAGTTATACTAGAATTCAAGGAAGTCAAGGCATAAAAATGGCATTCAAGAAGTAAAGTTACACATATATCCTATTTAGAAAAGACATATGTTGTAATACTCATAGATGGAAACCAAGTTGTCATTGAATGGGTTCAGACATGCTAAGGACAGATAAAAGGATTCTCTTTTCTGAAGGATAAATAACTTTGTGAGATAGGACAGTTTTTCACCAAATAAATATTTAAGCTATAAACAAAGACAATATTCTTTGTGAGCACAGCAGAGCATCTCTCAAATAGTTGGAAATTATCTGAATTTTATGAAATTTAGCTAAAATTTCAGACTAATTGTGAAGTACTTTGGGGATAACCAGTGACACCAGAACATATTCTTTACTACCTATTAAACTATAACACTGAAGAATTAATGTACTTTTTCTGTATTTTTATAACAAATAACTGAAGCAAATAGAGAAAAATAGAGGCAAACATAAAGACAACATAGTGCAGAGACACAAGGAAACATACAAGGTTTAATTTGAAATGTGACTTCAAGGTTTACTTGAAATGATTGTAGCCATTTGACTGGGCAGAACTAACAATATTTGATGATATTAATGGTATGTTAGGTACTAAAATATATTTTCACATTATTGCATTATATTCTTTTGCTGTTCTTACTATTTGTTTGTAGGGAACATCTATACTTGTGTGAGCTGTTCACTGAGAATCTGTAACCCACAGGACAGGCTGAGAGGTCAGCTAGGAAACAGCAGAGAACAGAAGACAAGACTGCAGTGATAGAAAAAGATGGATATCAAGCCAAATGCAACAGCACTGCGTGCTGTCGGGCCACAGCAAAGGATCCCTGTGCACGCAAAAAGAAAGTTGCACAATATGAAGGAAGCAGTAAAAATGAAATGAAGTAGAAGAGACATGCAGAAAGAAAAACGCTCTCGGATGTGTCACAATCATCTTGATTCTTTACCTGAAAAACCTGTATTTTTTTCCTTTGTAATTATCTAATATACTTTGTGTCAAAGAACAAGGACCTGAGTTCCACTTAAAGAAGATGAAGAAGTTAACAGATACCGTTCTCGGGTTTTATCATGAAGTTAGAAATGAAAATTTTCAGTTTCTGGTAGTCATGAACAGAGAGCCTCAGGTAAGCCCCAGAGTGCAGGCAGACAGTCAGGATGCTCCTGCGCAGGCTCCTCAGGTGCAGCTGTGCTGGGGGGAAAAATCATGCTGTTTAGCCTAATGAGGCAAAACAGAATAAAGGCCAAGGTAATTCAGTAGAGAGGGTCTTAAATGCACAGCTGTATCAGCTGCTGACTCCTTCCTACCTGGTCTTCATTTTTTCTCTGTGCAATCTGTTTGCTTCCCTACTGGGCCTGCTAACATTATCTGATTCCAGGCCAAACTGATATTAATCATTTGTTATGAGGTCCCCCAAATAAAATTTGAGTTTGTCTTGTTGGTGTTCCCTGAACTAAAGTTAACTACGTGTGTCAAATCCTAAAGTCCACTTGTTACACCAGCATCAGGCTAAGATGTAAACTCCATTTGAACTACGGAACAGCTGCACTCCTCTTGAAACTCTACATGCACAGAGAGATGTATGTTTGTAAGTGGACACAATAGACAGAGTGCTAGTTGGTGTTTTAAAAGCCAAAACCTGGAATACTTTTCTTTTGACTTCACATATGTAGAAAATTAGGGTGTAAAATGTACACGAGAATAAAATAATACCAAGATGAGTAAGTCCATTAAAAAATGTAGATGAGCAAATGACTTTAGCATTATTAATGCTCACTGGGAATTTGACAGGCCAAATGAGCATGTTTATACTTGGTAACAATTAAAAGGCTTACCATTTTAATCACTGGGACTTCCGGGAGAACATGGTGGACAGATAGCAGCAGCTATGGAGGCTCTCTGAAAGAACCAGCTTGGAATTCAGGAATGGTGCGGAGTAAGGAGTCATGAGCAGGTAGAGATATGCCCTGGTGACCCAAGAAAGAACTGGGCTGAGAGAAACCAACTTGGAGTGCAATCCTGGTGCTATAACAGGAACAGAAAAGCCTCAGTGTGGAAGCTGGAGCCCGCACCATTGAAAGCCATGATTTGGGTGTCCCGCCGCGCCGCCAGCTGCGTCTACATCGGCTTGGCAGGGAGAGAGACTCGCTCTGAGAACGGGAATCGGCGAACAGAGTTGCAGTAGGTGAGTGAGAGAAACTGACACTCTTCCCACGGTTTGGGAGACTCCAACAGAGGACATTCTGGGACTGGGCAGACTTGCGGGAGCAGGGTGCTGAGGCGACTTCAGCCACATACCCCCCCTCTCAAGCGGGATTGGTGAGAAGTGCCTAGCCTAGGTGACACTGCTGGCTGAGACCCACTGGGCTAGCACAACCCAGATCCCAGAGCCTGAGGGTGACCTGGAGGGCCGGCCCCGCATAGGCTGCCTGATCTGCAACTTCCTGATGTGCTGCGGTGGGCGGGAACCCCTAGCCAGCGCAATTCAATCAGACTGTGGCTGACAGGAAAGGAAGCTGGGCCTCCTATATACGCTTGCTTATATAAGGAACAAAGAATATGGGAAGAGGGAGCAACAACAAGAAAGGCCCTTCGGCCCCCAATCCTGAGAAACAGGCAATAGCGGACACTGCACTAATAGACATAAAGCGCCATCTAGAGAGCCTCATAGATCAGTTCAGGAATGAAGTTATTAATGACCTGAAGCTAGAAATAAGCAGAATAGTTAGAGAAATGCTAAGCACCACCCAAGAAAAAACAGATGGTGGAATGGAAGATCAGAAAAAGAGGGGAGAATTGTTTGATGCAGAAAATAGAGAAAGCATAGAATACGTGAAGCAGGTTCAAAGAGACTACCAGGAAACTAAGAACTCTATAGAAAACTGGCATAACAGCTTGAAAGAAACTAAGGACAGACTATCTGAACTGGAGGGCAGATTAGTAATATGGGAGAATGAAATGAAAAACTTCTTAAAAGTAACAAAGAAACAAACAGCAATAATACAAAGACAAGAAGATAAGAGGATCCATAACTTAAGAATTAAGAACATAAAAGAAGAAGTAGGGACACAAACAAATGAACTACAAAAGCTACTCACAGAAATAATCCAGGAGAATTTTCCTAATTTAGCAAAAGGTAAAGAAACTCAGTTGTATGAAGCATACAGGACCCCAGCCACCTACAACCCAAACAGAGCAACACCCAGGCATATAATAATTAAAATTCCAGAAATTCAATACAAGAACAGAATATTAAAAGCTGTCAGAGACAAGAAACAGATCACTTACAAGGGAAACACCCATCAGAATTACAGCAGATTTCTCTGCACAAACCATCAAATCATGAAAGAGTGTGGGGGGAAATAATTCAAGCTTTGAAAGATAATAATCTCCAGTCAAGATTGATATATCCTGCACAACTATCCCTGGAAATTGATGGAAAAGCAAGGTGTTTCCAGGATAAAGTGGAACTAGGGGAATATGCAACCACCAATTCAACTCTACAGAGAATACTACAGGATATTCTAAAAAAGAAAAATATAAAGAATCCAGAAATAGTGGCAGAGAGGCCACGATGAATGGAGCAGAAAACAAAATGAAGAAGACAAACTGACAATGACAGAAAAAGAGCTCAACAGAAATGTAGAGAAGATTGAATGATAGGAACAGCTATTTTGGAGAAAATGATGTCTTAATAGGTAATACTGATTTAGTATCATCTTGTTTTGAAGTCTCATCAAGCTTTTGTTCTTCTGTCTCCATTGGTCTAAACAGGTTGTATCTTATTGGATTTTATTATGTATGATAGTATAAGCAAAAACTTTTAAAGACAAGGAGATTATACAGAAACCATTGTTCGTTTTCTGTTGGTTGATTCTAAATACCCTGTAATGCTGTCATTCTCTTAAATGGTTTTACATTGTTTTGATATATTTGATGCTACAGTATACGAAGTTATACTCAAAGATTTCAAGGAAAGAGACAATATGGTAACTACTTTTATGTCAGGATTATCTTGTGGTGAAACACTATTTTGCTTAAATGGTTATGTTTTGATCTGCACTGTTTTGCTGTTATACCCTCTTTTATCTCAATCTCCACTTCATTATTTACTTTTTTATTTTTATCCTTTTAATTAAGGGAAAAATAATTAAAAAATAGCAGGATGTAGTAACCCACTTTGACTTTCCATTATCTTGATTTAAAGCCCTGTATTACTCTCACCATCTTGTTTTTGACTAATGTCCCCCTATTCTGTTTTGCTTGATAGTACCATGTTCGAAAGTTTAAGCAACAGCTGTGAAGATAGTGAGATTCATTATAACGCCCATTCTCATTGACTATTATCTACTTTTGAAGACCTATAATGTCTCCAATGTTTTGGCTTTGTCGGTTTTGTTCTTTACTGTTTTGTTCAATTTTATTATAACTGATGATATAGGCAATTCTATTAGAGATAGCGGGAGGCATTATGGTAACCATTGTTGATCCCTTTGTATTATGCTTTTACATTATCTATTGTGTCCACCCTTTTGATTTGATTGACTCTGTTCTGTTATGTCACATTTGGTTCTACTCCCTTCCAAAAAAGTAATAAGAACTGTGGGAGCAACAAAACCCAAAATGGGTAATTGTCATGGTACAAAAGAGAGGAAAAGAAAGTGCTCTAAATGATATAACTGCATGTATATATAAATGTATAAGATAGATAATGATATCACTGAGTTTTGTTGGATCATTGAACAGAACTGTTTGCAGTCTCACTGTTGGAATGTCCACTTTACAAGCTTTAATTTTGTGACTTGAACAATTATTTCTAAGATGACAATATATAATCCATTAACTAGTGATTTCCTACTGTTTATTTTTTTCTGTAAATCTGTATAACTTGTACCCTTTCTCTGCTTTTTTTTTTCTCCTTAAATAAAATTTAAAAAAAAAATCACTGGCAGAACTGGACATTCAGTGTTTTCCTGGATGACAAGGGTTTTCTTGCTTTTTCAGTTTGGCTTTGTTTTGGTCTAGTGAACTGCACCAGAGTGTCTTCAGTGTAGAGAAGATAACAATACACTACCACAGTGTTAGTAACAATACCTTGTTACTAACATTTAGTAACAGTATCTCAGAGTCTCTCTACAGCTTGAGGGGAAAACATTGCTGCCATTCCACCCTGAGGAAAATCTACAGTAACAGAATGTTTCCGGAAGTAGAAACATCCTACCGGTCCAGAACCTCCACGTGGACCTGACCTCTCAGCTTTCCCTGACTCCTCACCAGGGCAGTTGCTGTGTAGGATCCGCTGTAACATACCTGCGGCACAGGCGGTGCAGTGCGTTGGGGCTGGACTCATGGAGAATCTCCAGGAGCTTCCCAAGAAGACCCCTCCAACATTACAAGGCAAAAAGATGGATCAGGAACACCATCCTAAGCCCCGGGATCAGTTCCTCCTGAAATAATTAAATAGACACACATCTTTCAGCTTTAATTTTTTTTTAATCCGCCTGAAAAGACCAGCTTTCAGATTCCTGAAGAAATTGCAAACACATCTTTAAAAAACAATGTAAGTTCTGATTCCACATTGAGTCATTTAATTGTGCGTTACTAGAATTTAAAGCCTTTGTTTAATTACTTGATTCATAGAAATTCGCTTGATTCACGAATATACAATTTAATCCCCAAAGGCACTCTGATTTTCTATATTTCCCTCTTAAATTTCAATGGGTTTTTTCTATCACAGTGTTATACATTCTCTTATACTTTTCACAAGCCTAAAAAGTAATATACAGAAAAAACGCATTATCAATTTTGATATTTAAGCTTAATTCACAAAGAAATCCCCTCTAATATACAATTTAATCCCCAAAGGCACTCTGATTTTCTATATTTCCCTCTTAAATTTTAATGGGTTTTTTCTATCACAGTGTCATACATTCTCTTATACGACCCTCTACATTTTTTTTTTTTTCAGTATGGGGATTAAACTCAAGGACCCTCTACATTGGTAAGTCTTTTAAAATATTTGGAATTTCTTACTTGTGGGTATTTGAAAAAGGTACAACTATGAAAACACTTATTACTTTTCACAAGCCTAAAAAGTAATATACAGAAAAAATGCATTATCAATTTTGATATTTAAGCTTAATTCACAAAGAAATCCCCATCACATTTGGAGAAAAAAACTAATCGTCAACACCAAGAAAATCCTGTCTTCTACTGTTTCAACCAGCTTTTGTTTCATAAAACATGAATTAAGCCTTTTCAGTGACTCATTGCAGAGTCTGACATAGTGAGGTCATCTAATGAATGCAGGGTAACAACCATCTTTGAGTGTAAGTTGTCAGCTGAAAGATGCCATTTGCTGTTTCTGTTTTGGTCCTTTGAGCATGATTTCACTTCACGTGTGGCCCTACCATGGGCTCCAGTCTTCAGCCTTATGTGTGTATTGCTTCTCGTTTCATCCTCAGATTTCCTAAGGATTTCATAGCCAAACCATCGATCTTCATTTCTCCTGCTCCCCTGGAGCAGCAGGAGATTGTGGGATGTTCTCAGGCTCTTTCTGTGCAAGATTTTCTTGTCTTGTTTTGCACTTTTTTTTTTTTTTTTTGGTGGTCAATAACCCCACTCTTTTTCATACCTCAGATTTTGAAGACTTTTGTGACAGTTATTGTTTCCTTGCATGGCTTAAAAAATAGTCATTTAATAAAACTTTCAAATCTTTCTTGGGTCCTTTTTGCCTTCCCAGCCTATTAGGTTTTTGAGTAGAAGCCAGAACAAAATGTAGGGAAGAAGATGTAGATGTGCAAAATGACTTTCATAAAAGCGCCTTATGTCACATTTATAACTTCAATACACAGCTGATTCACAGTCAGACAGCATGATCATTAAAGAATAAGAAGGACAGCAGGGACTATTTGGATGAAATTACAATGAAAACCTGTTTAATTTTCTTATCTGTAACTGTGAAAAATGTTTAGTAAGCTGGAATGTCACAAGAGGAAGCCCAGAGGACACAGGGATAACAAACACCAGGAGGACTACGGAAGAGGAAGTTTTATTATTTTCAACACAAGTCTCTCACAGACATTTTGTTAGATTTATGTGTAAGAATTCCACTGGTTTTCCTGTGATAATGGATATTTCACATATCTAATTTATATACTGATTTTGTTTCTTACAGCTTATCACTGGATTGTAAACATGTTTTGGCTTTTTATTGATATTTTATTTGGATAATCATCTCATTTGCAAAGAGTGATATCTTTTCTCATTTTCTATTTATTGATATATTTTACATTAAAATAGTACCATGTACAACTGTCAAGTAGGTTTACATAATCAATTTTCTGCTTTTTAATTCTAGTTCATTTATTTTTTACTGATTATTTCCTTAATTATTTGGTCATTTTATTGAGACACAGTTGATACTATCACTACACACATTCACATATACAGGTTGGAGTTTGACATGTTCAACCCTATTTTGTTTTGCTTTTTTCATTTACTTATTGGCCTCTAGTTCTTTCACTGTCATTTTGAATATGAATATTAAAACATACTTATAATAGGTGTTTGAAAAAGTAATTCCTACTTATAATTCTTTTTAATCATTTCCTCTTTGTGCCACATGTATGAGAAATTTGCCATTAATCATCTTTAGTCTTTTAATAGGTAAATAATTTATTTCTCATTGTTGGAATAGCCTTGCTTCACTCACATCACGGTGATACTGTCTTATAAATCCTAAATTTTGTAAAGCAATATTTGTTTATTTCTGCCTATATCAATGGGAGATATTTGTACAATATTTTATTTCCTTAAAATATTTTTGTTTTGCTTTTAGTTTAAGGCTTTTTTGCTAAGGAGGAAAAGGATCTGTGATGATGTCATCACACTTTAGTACCTTTCCTTTCCTTTCTTTCTTCTGGTTAATAACCTGAGTAGTGCTTTCTCAGGTCTCCAGGTAGACGTTTATGGCTGCTTGCTGAGGTTCGTGAACATGAGCTCTGATATGTCACCTGTGAGGCCTGTTCTCTTTGTGATTCTTGACCACTTCTCTCATAGCTTCGTACAGTCTCTCCTCAGACTTCAGGAGAGTCATTTTCCTAAACTTTAAGGATTTAAAATATTGTATGTTT